GGTGCGGTGAGCGGGGGGTGCGGTGAGCTTGGGGTGGGGTGAGCTTGGGGTGCGGTGAGCTTGGGGTACGGTGAGCTTGGGGTGCGGTGAGCAGGGGGGTGCGGTGAGCGTGGGGTGCGGTGAGCTTGGGGTGCGGTGAGCGGGGGGTGCGGTGAGCTTGGGGTGCGGTGAGCGGGGGGTGCGGTGAGCATGGGGTGCGGTGAGAGTGGGATGCGGTGAGCATGGGGTGCGGTGAGCATGGGGTGCGGTGAGAGTGGGATGCGGTGAGCTTGGGGTGCGGTGAGCGGGGGGTGCGGTGTGCGTGGGGTGCGGTGAGAGTGGGATGCGGTGAGCATGGGGTGCGGTGAGCGTTTGGTGCGGTGAGCGTTTGGTGCGTTGAGCTTGGGGTGCGGTGAGCATGGAGGTGCGGTGAGCGTGGGGTGCGGTGAGCGGGGGGTGCGGTGAGTGTGGGGTGCGGTGAGCGGGGGGTGCGGTGAGCATGGGGTGTGGTGAGCGTGGGGTGCGGTGAGCTTGGGGTGCGGTGAGCTTGGGGTGTGGTGAGCTTTGGGTGCGGTGAGCTTGGGGTGCGGTGAGCGTGGGGTGCGGTGTGCGTGGGGTGCGGTGAGAGTGGGATGCGGTGATAATGGGGGTGCGGTGAGCGTGGGGTGCGGTGAGCGTGGGGTGCGGTGAGTGTGTGGTGCGGTGAGCGTGGGGTGCGGTGAGAGTGGGATGCGGTGAGAGTGGGGTGCGGTGAGCTTGGGGTGCGGTGAACGTGGGGTGCGGTGAGCGTGGGGTGCGGTGAGCGGGGGTGCGGTGAGCGTGGGGTGCGGTGAGCTTGGGGTGCGGTGAGCGGGGGGTGCGGTGAGCTTGGGGTGCGGTGAGAGTGGGATGCGGTGAGCATGGGGTGCGGTGAGCATGGGGTGCGGTGAGAGTGGGATGCGGTGAGCTTGGGTGCGGTGAGCGTGGGGTGCGGTGAGAGTGGGATGCGGTGAGCATGGGGTGCGGTGAGCGTTTGGTGCGGTGAGCGTTTGGTGCGTTGAGCTTGGGGTGCGGTGAGCATGGGGGTGCGGTGAGCGTGGGGTGCGGTGAGAGTGGGATGCGGTGAGCATGGGGTGCGGTGAGCATGGGGTGCGGTGAGAGTGGGATGCGGTGAGCTTGGGTGCGGTGAGCGTGGGGTGCGGTGAGAGTGGGATGCGGTGAGCATGGGGTGCGGTGAGCGTTTGGTGCGGTGAGCGTTTGGTGCGTTGAGCTTGGGGTGCGGTGAGCATGGGGGTGCGGTGAGCGTGGGGTGCGGTGAGAATGTGGTGCGGTGAGCGTGGGGGTGCGGTGAGCGTGGGGTGCGGTGAGCATGGGGTGTGGTGAGCGTTTGGTGCTGTGAGCGTTTGGTGCGTTGAGCTTGGGGTGCGGTGAGTGTGGGGTGCGGTGAGCGTGGAGTGCGGTGAGCGTGGAGTGCGATGAGCGTGGGGTGCGGTGAGCGTGGGGTGTGGTGAGCGTTTGGTGCGGTGAGCATTTGGTGCGTTGAGCTTGGGGTGCGGTGAGTGTGGGGTGGGGTGAGCGTGGGGTGCGGTGAGCGTGGGGTGCGGTGAGCGTGGGGTGCGGTGAGCGGGGGTGCGGTGAGCGTGGGGTGCGGTGAGTGTGGGGTGGGGTGAGCGTGGGGTGCGGTGAGCGTGGAGTGCGGTGAGCGTGGAGTGCGATGAGCGTGGGGTGCGGTGAGCGTGGGGTGTGGTGAGCGTGGGGTGTGGTGAGCGTTTGGTGCGGTGAGCATTTGGTGCGTTGAGCTTGGGGTGCGGTGAGTGTGGGGTGGGGTGAGCGTGGGGTGCGGTGAGCGTGGGGTGCGGTGAGCGTGGGGTGCGGTGAGCGGGGGTGCGGTGAGCGTGGGGTGCGGTGAGTGTGGGGTGGGGTGAGCGTGGGGTGCGGTGAACTTGGGGTGCGGTGAGCGTGGGGTGCGGTGAGCTTGGGGTGCAGTGAGCGGGGGGTGCGGTGAGCTTGGGGTGCGGTGAGAGTGGGATGCGGTGAGCATGGGGTGCGGTGAGCATGGGGTGCGGTGAGAGTGGGATGCGGTGAGCTTGGGTGCGGTGAGCGTGGGGTGCGGTGAGAGTGGGATGCGGTGAGCATGGGGTGCGGTGAGCGTTTGGTGCGGTGAGCGTTTGGTGCGTTGAGCTTGGGGTGCGGTGAGCATGGGGGTGCGGTGAGCGTGGGGTGCGGTGAGAGTGGGATGCGGTGAGCATGGAGTGCGGTGAGCATGGGGTGCGGTGAGAGTGGGATGCGGTGAGCTTGGGTGCGGTGAGCGTGGGGTGCGGTGAGAGTGGGATGCGGTGAGCATGGGGTGCGGTGAGCGTTTGGTGCGGTGAGCGTTTGGTGCGTTGAGCTTGGGGTGCGGTGAGCATGGGGGTGCGGTGAGCGTGGGGTGCGGTGAGAATGTGGTGCGGTGAGCGTGGGGGTGCGGTGAGCGTGGGGTGCGGTGAGCATGGGGTGTGGTGAGCGTTTGGTGCTGTGAGCGTTTGGTGCGTTGAGCTTGGGGTGCGGTGAGTGTGGGGTGCGGTGAGCGTGGAGTGCGGTGAGCGTGGAGTGCGATGAGCGTGGGGTGCGGTGAGCGTGGGGTGTGGTGAGCGTTTGTTGCGGTGAGCATTTGGTGCGTTGAGCTTGGGGTGCGGTGAGTGTGGGGTGGGGTGAGCGTGGGGTGCGGTGAGCGTGGGGTGCGGTGAGCGTAGAGTGTGGTGAGTGTGGGGTGCGGTGAGAGTGGGGTGCGGTGAGCGTGGGGGTGCGGTGAGCGTTTAGTGCGGTGAGCGGGGGGTGCGGTGAGCGTGGGGTGCGGTGAGCATTTGGTGCGTTGAGCTTGGGGTGCGGTGAGTGTGGGGTGCGGTGAGCGTGGGGTGCGGTGAGCGTGGGGTGCGGTGAGCGTAGAGTGCGGTGAGTGTGAGGTGCGGTGAGAGTGGGGTGCGGTGAGCGTGGGGGTGCGGTGAGCATTTGGTGCGGTGAGCGGGGGGTGCGGTGTGCGTGGGGTGCGGTGAGCATGGGGTGCAGTGAGAGTGGGATGCGGTGAGCTTGGGGTGCGGTGAGCGGGGGGTGCGGTGTGCGTGGGGTGCGGTGAGAGTGGGATGCGGTGAGCATGGGGTGCGGTGAGAGTGGGGTGCGGTGTGCGTGGGGTGCGGTGAGAGTGGGATGCGGTGAGCATGGGGTGCGGTGAGCGTTTGGTGCGGTGAGCGTTTGGTGCGTTGAGCTTGGGGTGCGGTGAGCATGGGGGTGCGGTGAGCGTGGGGTGCGGTGAGAATGTGGTGCGGTGAGCGTGGGGGTGCGGTGAGCGTGGGGTGCGGTGAGCATGAGGTGTGGTGAGCGTTTGGTGCTGTGAGCGTTTGGTGCGTTGAGCTTGGGGTGCGGTGAGTGTGGGGTGCGGTGAGCGTGGAGTGCAGTGAGCGTGGAGTGCGATGAGCGTGGGGTGCGGTGAGCATGGGGTGTGGTGAGCGTTTGGTGCGGTGAGCATTTGGTGCGTTGAGCTTGGGGTGCGGTGAGTGTGGGGTGGGGTGAGTGTGGGGTGTGGTGAGTGTGGGGTGCGGTGAGAGTGGGGTGCGGTGAGCGTGGGGGTGCGGTGAGCGTTTAGTGCAGTGAGCGGGGGGTGCGGTGAGCGTGGGGTGCGGTGAGCGTTTGGTGCGTTGAGCTTGGGGTGCGGTGAGTGTGGGGTGCGGTGAGTGTGGGGTGTGGTGAGCGTAGAGTGCGGTGAGTGTGAGGTGCGGTGCGGTGAGTGTGGGGTGTGGTGAGCGTAGAGTGCGGTGAGTGTGAGGTGCGGTGAGAGTGGGGTGCGGTGAGTGTGGGGTGTGGTGAGCGTAGAGTGCGGTGAGTGTGAGGTGCGGTGAGAGTGGGGTGCGGTGAGCGTGGGGTTGCGGTGAGCATTTGGTGCGGTGAGCGGCGGGGTGCGGTGAGCATGGAGTGCGGAGAGCACGGGGTCCGGTGAGCTTGGAGTGCGGTGAGCGGCGGGTGCGGTGAGCGTGGGGTGCGGTGAGAGTGGGATGCGGTGAGCGTGGGGTGTGGTGAGCGTTTGGTGCGGTGAGCGTTTGGTGTGTTGAGCTTGGGGTGCGGTGAGTGGGGGGTGCGGTGAGCGTGGGGTGCGGTGAGCGTTTGGTGCGGTGAGCGTGGGGTGCGAGGAACATGGAGTGCGGTGAGCATGGAGTCCGGTGAGTGTGGGGTGCGGTGAGCGTGGGGTACGGTGAGTGTGGGGGTGCGGGGAGCATGGAGTGCAGTGAGCGTTTGGTGCGGTGAGCATTTGGTGCGTTGAGCTTGGGGTGCGGTGAGCGTGGGGTGCGGTGAGCGTTTGGTTCGGTGAGCGGCGGGGTCCCGTGAGTGTGGGGTGCGGTGAGCGTGGGGTGCGGTGAGAGTGGGGTGCGGTGAGAGTGGGATGCGGTGAGTGGGGTGCGGTGAGCTTGGGGTGCGGTGAGCTTGGGGTGCGGTGAGCGTGGGGTGCGGTGAGAGTGGGATGCGGTGAGCATGGGGTGCGGTGAGCGTTTGGTGCGGTGAGCGTTTGGTGTGTTGAGCTTGGGGTGCGGTGAGCGGGGGGTGCGGTGAGCGTGGGGTGCGGTGAGCGTTTGGTGCGGTGAGCGTGGGGTGCGGGGAGCATGGGGTCCGGTGAGCGTGGGGTGCGGTGAGTGTGGGGGTGCGGTGAGCATGGAGTGCGGTGAGCGTTTGGTGCAGTGAGCGTTTGGTGCGTTGAGCTTGGGGTGCGGTGAGCGTGGGGTGCGGTGAGCGTGGGGTGCGGTGAGCGTGGGGTGCGGTGAGTGTAGAGTGCAGTGAATGTGGGGTGCGGTGAGAGTGGGGTGCGGTGAAAGTGAGGTGCGGTGAGTGTAGAGTGTGGTGAGAGTGGGTGCGGTGAGTGTAGAGTGTGGTAAGCGTGGAGTGCGGTGAGTGTGGGGTGCGGTGAGAGTGGGGTGCGGTGAGCGTGGAGTGCGGTGAGAGTGGAGTGCGGTGAGTGTATGGTGCGGTGAGTGTAGGGTGCGGTGAGTGTGCAGTGCGGTGAGAGTGGAGGCCCTCACCTGCGCCATGCGGACGTCCACCTCGGAAGCCCCCGCTGGGGCCGCCATGGCCTCCTCCAGCCGAGCCTCCCCCGGCACATCTAGTCCCATGCGGCACGCGACGGCCTTCAGCGCCGGGGCCAGGATCTCCACCCTGGCGGCAGCGACCGCACGCTACTCGTCAGCGCTTCAGCGCTCAGACCGCAGCCAACAGCGCCATATTTGTTTGCTTGTGTAAGGAATGCCGAGAGATGAACCCTATCAGGAAATAAATAAATAAATAAAGTTACGTGACCTCACTGGGTATAACGGCACCTCGTGAGTTCTAATAACGAGCCCAACTCTCATTGGCGAAATGCTGTCCCAGCTGACGATGTAGGGCACACGCCCAATCGGACTTGAAGGTGGAGATCATTCAAATTCAAAACGAGGGGTCGGTTGGGAGACCGTTAGGAGAAATACATGGGATTGGTGGAGAGTCACGGGATGAGTAAGGGCAGGGATAGAAGGAGGTTCAGAGTGTCTGAACGGGGTGATTCCCTGATATGAGACAAACGCGTACTGTGCGCAAGACGTGATCAAGACGAAGTTCAAGACTCACTCGGCTACTCCTTGATGCTTGTAGTTTGTGCAAGGTGTAAACGACATGTATTGCACGGAATTACACGACGCATGGGCTATGAATTCCACTCTGTGTGTGATTATTTATTTGGGTATTGTTCTTCTTCATATGGCTGATGTTGATTAAGAGCAAAAAAAACTCAAATTGTACATGCGGATACTTGATGATAATGCACAAAAGGGAAATTAGAAACCCTCAGGCAGTGTGCGCAGACTGTGGTCACTTCCCAGAACAGAACCATGGGACGTGCAACGCCGACGCCAAATTCACAAACATGAAGGAGGAGGCATCACCACAGCGATGATTCACCACTGCGCCATGCCCGACGCAACCGCCTGGCTCACGAACCACCTGGACGTGACGCTGCTCGCCTGTCACCGAGCGCGTAGCGGATATCCAGCAGCGAGCGGCATGCTCTATGGCGCGATTCCCCCCGCGAGAACCACCGTAACCAGTGAACCGCGGCACGTCGGCACCGGCCGGCGCGTCTCACCTGTACGCCTTGCCAAGCCCGGCAGCGTCGCTCACTCCTGGCCGCTGGCGCCCCCACTCCGCCTTGAGGAGCTCTAGCCGCTTGCACAGTAGCAGGAACGCTTCGAGCAGCGCAAGGGTCGACAGCGGGTCGGCCCGCGGCGTGCCGGGGAGGGGTGGGGCCAGCAGCGTCCCTCCCCCATCGTTGTCGTCGTCGTCATCACCGCTGCCATGAGGAGCACGTTCTGCCGGCGGGGCCACGACAGACGCGGCCCCGCCGGCGGCCGCTGTCTGCAGGACGTCCTCCAAGAGCAGTGAGACGCCGAGCATCTCACCGTTGAGGGCCCGACGCCCGCTGTCCGTCAGTCCGCACAGACGCAGCTGGATGTGAAGACAAACGGATAAAGGGGCACGTGAAATGGACTCTGGAGGAAAAAGAGATTTGATGGCGGTGGTTTCCTCTGGCCCGTGCCCGTCGAGCGTCACTGACCTGCAGGCCATGTTGCGTCTGCCACAGCTGGCCGATCATCCCCGGGTAGGGCCCCTCTGTGTTCAGGAATGACCTCCAGGGGAAGAGCTCCGCGGCCTGTGTGGGGAGCACAGGAATAGGAGAGGCTACGCGCCGCCAGGCTTCTTGTGGTGGCGTTCGCATGGAGACTGCTACTGGGATGTATTATTGGCCTAAGCCCAATTATTTTCAAGGACACCTTGAGTGACTGCTACTATAATATTGTTTTTTTTGGGTTAGATCACGTAAATATAAATGTGTCGTTAAACCTGCCATCACCCGACACAACCAATTAGTAAGGTTTGTCACGTAAACAGAACATGCCAATTCGTAACTCGTACAGCACACCGGTGTGTTGGAGAGCGAATCCATAACATTTACAATCTGAGTGAGTGAGTAGGGTGGAAACGCCGGTGCGATCGTGTAAGTGAGTGAGTGAGGTAGAGACGCCGGTGGTATTGTGTAAATGATTGAGCGAGGTGGAGACGTTGGTGGGATCGTGTAAGTGAGTGTGGTGGAAACGCCGGTGGTATCGTGTAAATGATTGAGTGAGGTGGAGACGTTGGTGGGATCGTGTAAGTGAGTGAGTGAGGTGGAGACGTTGGTGGGATCGTGTGAGTGAGTGAGTGGGGTGGAGACGCCGGTGGGATCGTGTAAATGAGTGAGTGAGGTGGAGATGTTGGTGGGATCGTGTAAGTGAGTGAGTGAGGTGGAGACACCGGTGGGATCGTGTAAGTGAGCGAATTATTGAGGTGGAGATGCCGGTGCGGCTTTGAATGTTGCCGCTGGTGAAGGCTGCATGGAAGCCGGTGCTGGAGGGAGACGGAGGGGGCAGATGGAGCGAGCGCAAGGGGCGGCACCTGTGTGCTGCCCGGCTGCACGGGCTGCGGCAGGCGCAGCGCCGCTCCATACAGGCTGGCGGCAGGGACATCCGCGAGTGCACGGGCCGTGGTGCTCGCCTCCTCGCTCACTCGCACGGCGCCGCTGTCCCTGCGTGCAGCATGCATGCAACAAGCAGGAGACATCGCGGCATCATCGCCACGAAGCCGCGGCAAGTTGGTGCCGGGCTGGCGGCACACTGAGCCTACGTGGCCTCACAAGTTCCGATATGGGTAGGCCATGCACGTACGCGCAGATAACAGAAATGTCAACTTGTGACGTACCTCCACCGCCCAGGGTTGCTTGCTCTCGTAGAGGGAGAGAACGACTCAGAGGGGCGAGGCCGAACCACAACAATTGCCCAATTGTGGTCTTCTATATATTAAAGTATTATTCAGGTATTATTGGCCAATTAACGTTGCAAAGTGATTTCCTGCTCAAATTAGTTTGAGGTGGTCTGGCTCTCTTGTTTACAGTCCGAAGCATTCCTACGGCAAGGACGAGTTTATCCATAGGAGAGCCACTAGGAGATACACAATTACAAATGTGTGTGCACACGTACACTCAAAAGGGGCCTACGTCTCCTCGACCATGCATCACTCTGGGTGTTTCACAACAGCCCATGGCCAGGTACAGCCAATGAGCCCTTATGAAGGCGGAAACAGGCATCCTTTTCTGTCATACTGCAAGAAAAAAACGTGACCCCTTCGGTGGCATTCTGTTCCTCTATTAGCCTCGCTGAGGCCGTATCAAATCCACACAGCGCTACAATCACGCACACGTATGTTCGCATGAGGACTCGTCCCGTTAAGACGCACTTCTCAAGGTGGTTATTTTTGTCATATCTGCCAACAGTCAGTGGGCGCAGCAGGTGAGCAGTGAGGTCCGCTCCAGAGGCGCTCTCTTCCCAACGTAACACATCGGCTACTCGCTTCAGGCTGAGTCAACTTAGATGGGGACACTACCAACTGAGCACAGGGATATGCCTGGCCAGGATTCAAACCTGTTCACAGGATTGGGGTTACTATGTATATATAATTGCTCCTAGCAAGACACAAAGATAAAGATCCCCCATATAGCCTTATAACAGGCAATTGCGATTAGCGAACGATACACGAGGGGCTTGGTGGCCAACGCCACGCCCGGTTGCCTTTTGTCCCTGCAGTGCCGATGTTCATGCACCGTACCTGGTACTCATTTCGAGAATAATTCACCTAGGGGAGGCCCAGGAGCAGTTCAAATAATCGCCACTGTCATTGGTCGTCAGTGGGAATCGAACTCGGGTCGCCGGGTTCGGAGCGCAACGTGCTAACCACTGCCCCACCGCTCGTTCCGGCGTGCGCGCTCGCTCGGCTACTCGGTTTGATTTGACGGTCACCATTGTGGCGCTAACAGCGGCAGCCTGCGCAACTAAGCTGTATCTTCTTGGTTCTTTCGGTAAAGTCACGTAGAAGGGAAGTAATAAAATAATAAAAATAAAACATAAGAAAATAATTCTCACGATGTTTCGGCTACAACGCAAGCAGCCGTCTTCAGGTGAAGAATGAGACACTGCCAAGCTTGGAGCTTATATATAAGCTGGGTTGGAGGTGGAAGAAGAGCGCCTTAACAAAAGAATGTGCATATCAAGAGGAATATATTCATGGGAAATGCGTAGGAGGTGGGCGGGGGGGTTTCAAAGTCATATTATGCCCATGCATTATGCAGGATTAGCAGCATCAAAGGGAGGGGGTAGGGGGTAGCATTAACAAAGGGAGGGAATAGTATGTAGAAGCAATGAAACATGTCAATGGGAGAGCGGTGACAGGAGACCCGCAGCAGAGCAAATAATGCATTCGCTGTGGAGAACACAAGATACAGTCAATGCCAGTGAGTGGACTGCGGTCTGAAAGTCACCGTAAACGTGAACAACAATCAGTTAAGATCCGAAATGGTTTATTACATCCTTCCAATGATTGCTGAGCCAGAATTCATCTTCTCGGTTGAAATTGTCTCTGTGTTTGTATATGTGGATGGCCTCATGAACGAATCTCTCATGGTAGCCAGATGGCTTGCAGAGAACCTCTGTCTTGGAGAAGTCAATGTCATGTGAGCCCACTGAATTGTAACAGTGATCTGCCACGGCTGAGGTGTTTGTCCTACCGCGTTTCAGGTCTGCTTTATGTTCACGGATGCGGTCCGAGACATGTCGTTTGGTTTCTCCAATGTAAATGCTACCACAGAGGAAACTTGGTTTGTAGACGCCAGGGTACTGTATGTCTGGAACCACGTCTTTTACAGACGGGACCAGATCACGGATTTTATGTACTATGTTGAATCGGACCTGCATCTTGTGTTTAATCAGGATTTTGGAGATCTTTTTTGTGACCCCAGCAATGTAGGGTAAGGTGATGATTTTGAAAGGCTCCTCAACAGGATCCTTCTTGATGGTTGGAGTGATGGCTTTACGGATTGTGTAGTCGGAGTAACCATTAGCCTTAAGAGCTTGGCGTACGTGTTCGAGTTCACTGGCAATGTGTTCCTGGTCGGAGATGCATTGGGCTCTATGGCATAAAGTCTTGATGAGGGAGTTCTTCTGGGATGGATGGTGGTGGGAATCCGGTTTTAGGTAGGCATCCGTATGGGTGGCTTTCCTGTAGACAGAGTGGCTCATTGAACCATCAGGTCTCCTTTTAATTAGGACATCCAAAAAGGGTAGCTTGCCATCTTTTTCGACTTCCATGGTGAATCTGATGGCTGGGTGTATGGAATTGATGTGGTCGAGAAATTGGTCTAGAGCAGGCCGGCCATGTGGCCAGATGATAAAAGTGTCATCTACGTACCTCTTCCATAAGAACCAAGAAGATGAATCCCTGCAGTCACGAAAGCTTTAAATCGCAATTTAACTAAGCTGTACTTTTTATTTTATTGATAGCAGGTAAGGCCCACTGAGCTATACAGTCTCACTTTTTTTAGAAGTGACCCGGCCACAAATGATATCTCAACAAAGGGGCTTATCATCACGTGATCATTTATAGCAGCAGCTTGACGTTGATTCTAATGCCACCGACGTCCCGAAGATGCCCAAAGCCCAGCAACTCACCTGAGGCTGTTGCTGCTGGCCGCCTCAAACTTGAGCAGCATCACCTGGCGGTACCGACACAGGAGCTCGGCCGCCTGCTCGGGGCTCCTGGGGTCCTTGAGCTCATCCAGCTGCCTCTGGATCTCATGCAGCTCGCTCTCTACAGGGGGCATGGTCACACAGCAGCACGGCACGGTCACACAGCAGCACGGCACGGTCACACAGCAGCACGGCATCGTCACACAGCAGCACGGCACCGTCACACAGCAGCACGGCATCGTCACACAGCAGCACGGCACCATCACACAGCAGCACGGCATCGTCACACGGCAACACGGCACCGTCACACAGCAGCACGGCACCGTCACACAGCAGCACGGCATCGTCACACAGCAGCACGGCATCGTCACACAGCAGCACGGCACGGTCACACAGCAGCACGGCATCGTCACACAGCAGCACGGCATCGTCACACAGCAACACGGCACCATCACACAGCAGCACGGCACCGTCACACAACAGCACGGCACCGTCACACAGCAGCACGGCACCGTCACACAGCAGCACGGCATCGTCACACAGCAACACGGCACCGTCACACAGCAGCACGGCATCGTCACACAGCAGCACGGCATCGTCACACAGCAACACGGCATTGTCACACAGCAGCACGGCATCGTCACACGGCAACACGGCATCGTCACACAGCAGCACGGCATCGTCACACAGCAGCACGGCACGGTCACACAGCAGCACGGCACGGTCACACAGCAGCACGGCACGGTCACACAGCAGCACGGCATCGTCACACGGCAACACGGCATCGTCACACAGCAGCACGGCACTGTCACACAGCAGTACGGCATCGTCACACAGCAGCACGGCATCGTCACACAGCAGCACGGCACCGTCACACAGCAGCACGGCACCGTCACACAGCAGCACGGCACCGTCACACAGCAGCACGGCATCATCACACGGCAACACGGCATCGTCACACAGCAGCACGGCACCGTCACACAGCAACACGGCATCGTCACACAGCAGCACGGCATCGTCACACGGCAGCACGGCATCGTCACACGGCAGCACGGCATCGTCACACGGCAACACGGCATCGTCACACGGCAGCACGGCATCGTCACACAGCAGCACGGCACGGTCACACAGCAGCACGGCACCGTCACACAGCAGCACGGCACCGTCACACAGCAACACGGCACCGTCACACAGCAACACGGCACGGTCACACAGCAGCACGGCACCGTCACACAGCAGCACGGCACCGTCACACAGCAGCACGGCATCGTCACACAGCAGCACGGCACGGTCACACAGCAGCACGGCACCGTCACACAGCAGCACGGCACCGTCACACAGCAACACGGCACCGTCACACAGCAACACGGCACCGTCACACAGCAGCACGGCATCGTCACACAGCAGCACGGCACCGTCACACAGCAGCACGGCATCGTCACACAGCAGCACGGCACGGTCACACAGCAGCACGGCACCGTCACACAGCAGCACGGCACCGTCACACAGCAGCAGCGTGGCTTCACCCCCAGCGAGGGCTGCACTGGGGCACCAGCTGCTTCTCTCAGTCGCTGGCTTGGAAGTTCACAACACAGCTCCTGCCAGCATCCTCCCTCAAGCGAGCTTGTGGCAGCACTTATCTCCAGTGGCAGTCCACAGTCTGTGGTGGAAAATCCACGTTCCCATGGCAGGGACCAGTTTATCCCAAAGGGATAACCCCTGCTGACATCCCGCAATGCGGTACTCGTTTTCGATTTAAAGCTTTCGTGACTGCAGGGATTCATCTTCTTGGTTCTTTCACCTTACCCTACATTGCTGGGGTCACAAAAAAGATCTCCAAAATCCTGATTAAACACAAGATCCAGGTCCGATTCAACACAGTACATAAAATCCGTAATCTGGTCCCGTCTGTAAAAGATGTGGTTCCAGACATACAGTACCCTGGCGTCTAGAAACTAAGTTGCCTCTGTGGTAGCAGTTACATTGGGGAAACCAAACGACATGTCTCGGACCGCATCCGTGAACATAAAGCAGACCTGAAACACGGTAGGACAAACACCTCAGCCGTGGCAGATCACTGTTACAACTCAGTGGGCTCACATGACATTGACTTCTCCAAAACAGAGGTTCTCTGCAAGCCATCTGGCTACCATGAGAGATTCGTTCATGAGGTGATCCACATATACAAACACAGAGACAATTTCAACCGAGAAGATGGATTCTGGCTTAGCAATCATTGGAAGGACGTAATAAACCATTTCGGATCTTAACTGATTGTGTTCACGTTTACGGTGACTTTCAGACCGCGTTCCACTCACTGGCATTGTATTCTCCGCAGGGAATGGATTCTTTGCTCCGCTGCAAGTTTTCCCCCCACGACTCACCCATTGACACGACGGTCAATGGTACAGTGTATAATAACAAATAGTATAACATTTATATGCTTAATACAATGTACAAAGTAATATATAGTATCGTAATTGTATAGTAAACATATAGCAGTGTGATACACGTTAGGGTGGGTAAAATAATACATAGTGTTATATTAAAATGTATAAGGTGGTATATAGCAATACAGTATATAATTTAATGTTGGGTTTATCTATGGCAGTATGGTGTATGCTCGTGTAATGTAAGAGAATAAAGTTTAGATGGAAGCATATTATATAATTTTTACGACGTATAATTGTAATGTATTACTTGCTGTTAGTAACTCAGCTTATTGTAGAGTATAGTAAATATACTGATGGTGCTATGCAGTTTATACTTTAGTTTTTTTTAATGTAGTTTATACTTTAGTTTTCTACGTGGTTGTTTAGTAACTGCAGCTACATACTATTAACATTCCTTTGTTAATGCTACTCCCTGCACCCTCCCTTGGTGCTGCTGATCCTGCATATTGCATGGGCATAATATGACTTTGAAACCCCCCCGCCCACCTCCTACGCATTTCCCATGAATATGCTAAATTCCTCTTCATATGCACATTCTTTTTGTTAAGGCGCTCTTCCACCTCCAACCCAGCTTATATATAAGCTCCTAGCTTGGCAGTGTCTCATTCTTCACCTGAAGACAGCTGCTTGCGTTGTAGCCGAAACGTCGTGAGAATTATTTTATTTTATTATGTTTTATTTTTATTATTTTATTGCTTCCCTTCTACGTGACTTTACCGAAAGAACCAAGAAGAGGTACTCGTTTTGTCGATACTCGAGGGATGATTGGCTTATTTACCGACTTGGGATTTTAACAGTGTCTCATGTTCCGTGAGTCGAGTGTTCAGCCACAGCATCACCTGACTGCAGGTACGAAACTAATCTTTTTTATATTTTACCAGGTAAGGCCCACTGAGTTATGAATCTCTTTTTCAGAAGCGACCTGGCAACAAATCATAGTTCAACAAAGTGGCTTATCATGTGGAAATTTATAGCAGCCAAATACTCGAAACGCATGTTTCTAAATGTGGAGGAAAAAACCACAGGACCTGGAGAAAAATGGAAGCGATCACGGGGAGAGAGACATGGAAACTCCAAATATTCAGGTGTCAGGGTCGGGATCGAACCCACAACCTCCTGAATACCAGGTGAGGTAGTTAAGATCTTGCCACCGTGGCAACCTGTAGTGTCACAGACAGGTGTACAGGGGTGTGAGTCACACTCAGGGGTCGCTACCGGCTGTCTGGATTTGATCCAGACATCCTGGCAATCGGAACCTGCGTGTGGATGGCAGGAATTGATTTGTGCCGAGATCTGGTACTGATACTGCGATGAACTTGATAATAGTAAACTGCACAGGTTTAATAATAGACCTAGTGCCGCCTGACAGAAATGTCTGGGGTTTGGTCTACATTGGAATATATCGGGATAACTACTCACAACCAGACAGCGGCCATATTTATGGCTGTCGCGCAAACTTAACGTGAATCTGAGATATATCATAATAATTGACTTTTTTTAAGGCGCCTTGCACTAATGTCAAAGGCGCCTTATGCACTAATGTCTCAAGGCGCCTTATGCACTGTGTGTGTGTTGAATTTCTTTCGCACCGTACTTAGCCAACCGTGCTAATTGGAGGTGTGGGGGGGGAGAGACAACAAACTAAACACACACAAAATATAACTTAACAATATATATCTTACTGCACAGTGACCCTGAATGTTGAGCAAGGCTGTGCCGCATATGTTGTGCTGGCTGAGCGACTGTGATGGGGGTTGATAGCCACCCAGATCCACCAATTCAGTTTTTTTCAAACAAACAGATATCTCTATCCTGACAAACACCAACATCGCAGCTGTACAATCGCACTTGATGTGTTATTTATTATTAGCCATGATCCTCCACAACGGCACATTTCAATCGGCACTCTGGACAAACCTCGCACATTTCCGTGGGCATCCTCTCATGTGCAGTGAGGTAGGAACTGGGTCCTCCACCCCAGATATGACAGGAGCAGGATTACAGCTTCGGCCGAAACTGTGCTGTGTTAGTTAGTTAAGTTACTCCTCTTCATCCTCTATGGGACATGAGGCCACAATGAGTTCCCTCCACTTCTCCCTGTCCTTGGCAACATGTTAAAACTCGCCCCAAGAGAGGTCGATCGCTGCTGCCAGCTCCTGCTTTACACGGTCTTGCACCAGGCGGTCTCGGCTCTCCTGGGTTTCCTTTTGTCCGGTGGTGTCCATCTTAGAGCAATTTTTGGTATACGGTCCTCTGGTCCATTCTGAGTACATGTCCAAGCCATCTGAGTCACCATCTCTCGACGTCTCGTGTGTGATACTAGGACAACCGGGTCTTCTTGTACCATTCGGTGTTGTCGGTTTTGTTTGGCCAGAAGATGCAGCCAATTCTCCTGAGCAAGCTGTTACGGAAGGACTCCACCCTCTTTGTGTCAGTCCTGACGACACGCCAACTCTCCGAGCCATACAACAGTACCGATTTAACGTTGCTGTAAATCTGTGCTTTGTACATGCATAAATAATAATTTTTAAAAATTTTACTTCGACCGCACGACTCCGTATTCGCTGTCTCTTTTAGAGAAAGAGAAAAAATGACTCGGAGGCGTGAGGGACCACAGACAAGCAGGAAGGCAGCCAAGCTCTGTGGTCCTGCACATATGAAGGTGTTATCAGCCAATTAATGAGTGTTTACTTATGGGAGGAGATCGGAGCACCAGAAGTAAACCCACTCGTGCGAGGAGGAAACTCTATCCCACACAGATGGAACAGGTAGAGTCCACAATTTTTCTGTACCACCTTCTCCTGGCGAGCCAGGGCATGGCTCCTCCTCGACACCCGCCCACGAGGAAGGGAGCAACCCGAGCTTCTTGTGAGATGGCCTCCTTCGCCTCCTTCACACCTCCAATTAGCACGGCTGGCTACATATGTTGCTAAAGAATCTCAACGAGCACACACACACGCATAGCGACGGCAGCTGCGGTGGTCCGCACTCACCGATGGCGTGGGTCTCCCCGCACGACGAGAGCTGCGTTGCGACGGGCAGCTGGGAGGTGCCGAGCGGTGCGCTCACGCTCAGCGCGCTCACGCTCAGCGTGTGCACAATGTCGTGCAGCGCGCACGCGATGTGCAGCACCAGGCGCAGGGCGCGGTAGCAGTGCTGGGGAACAGAGAGCGGGGCCGCACACTGTCACGTGCATGCTCACGTGTAATAACGGTGACGATGGTGGTGATTTCCCAAGGTGTTATTGTGGTGATGTTGTTGGACAATTGATGAGTGTTTTACATGTGGGACTAAACCGGAGCACCCGGAGGAAATCACTGCGTGCGAGGGGGAAACACTCTATCCCACACAGATAGATCATGATGGTAATGATCATATCTGAACCGTTCCTAGACCTCCCCTAGGTCGACTCAGCCTCAAATGAGTACCTGGTGCAATGTGTATAACATCTATGAATGCCGGCATTCATAGGTGCTTGCTAACAGCACTTGCCCGAACAGTCCGTTGAGGCTATGTGGGGGCTCTTTTTTTGGTGATGATGATGGTGGTGCAGACGATGCTGACGATGCTGATGATGCTGATGATGCTGATGATGCTGATGATGGAGGTGATGGTGACATGCTGCAGTGTCATGTTTCATATCACGGTCGGCGATCACTTCTTCATGTTACAGACAAGTGACTGTCGTTCGCAGGCAACAGAGAGACGGTTCCATGGCGCTCCGAATGATGCGGAGCGCGGCACGTGCAGTTGGGCGTTGTTACCACGTCCTCCAGGGTGCTGAACATCTGCAGCACCTCGCGGGGGTGTGGGATGAACCAGGCGTTGAGGAAGACACTGCCGTCGGCGGAGAGGACGCGGCGCGGCCGGGCCTGCAGCCGCCTACCGCGAGGCGCGGCGAGCGAGCACGGTGAGGACACGGGAAGAGGATCGTGAGCACGGTTAGTGCACGCAGTAAGGACACGGTGAAAGCACGGTGAGCACAGTGAACACACGGTGAGCATGGTGAGAACGCGGTGAGCATACCGTGAGATAACGATGAGCACGCGCGTTGAGTGCATGAGACCAACCTGAGTGAATAAGTGTCTGTTGTAAATGTGTGTGTGTGGTGAATAGGTGGGGAGCGGCAGTGTAGCGGTTAGCACGCTGCGTTCCTAACCCGGCGACCCAGGTTCGATTCCCGCTCAAGGTCAACACCAGTGGCGATTATTTCAAAGGTCCTAGGCCTCCCCTAAGTAGACTCAGCCTCAAATGAGTTTTCCGATGCGGTGTGTAAACATTGCCACTCGTGCGCCATACCAGCCTTCATAGGTGCTCGCTAACAGCACTTGCCCCTACAGTCTGTTAAGGCTACAAGGGGGATCGTTGTCTTTGTGTGGCCCACACCTGGGATCGGCCGTGAGTCCAGCCTCCGAGTCGCGCTCCCCCTTCCTCTCCCTGCCGTCCCCCAGCATGAAGTGTGAGTCACGCAGTGCAGGCACGGCGGCCAGCGCAGTGCGCAGCCCCGCGTAGCTTGCCAGGATCTGCCCACGCGCCGAGAACTGGGCCATCCTCAACGCCACACTGCATGACCCACACCGCACCAAACCACACCGAACCATACCGAATCAAACCACACCGCGCCGCACCAAGCGTGTGAGTCGAGCCCAGCTGTGCAGCAGCAGTCACAGGCATGGAGGCAATGACATCGCGGCCGCTCCCTGTGAGCGTGATGGATCCCACCCACGTGGACACCCCACATCCACGAGCTCGTGGGATTGGAACACGAAACACTGGCACATTCATGATGCCGGCCAACAGTTGCAATTGGAAACATTATTTATTGCAATCAACCCATCAATGCTGTATAAGTCTAATCTAGATTTAAAGTTTTCGTGACTGCAGGAATCCATACTCTTTGGTTCTTTCGGTAAAGTCACGGAGGTATAAAATTATGTATTTAATAAATTTTTATACCTACGTGACTGTATAACTCTGTCAATCTACATTATAATGGCTGTTTGAATTAAATATGCCGCTGTTGGTGTCCTTTAAAATGGTTGTGCAGCGGTTGACGCGCTTCGCTGTGGGCCCGGTGATCCAGGTTCAATTCCTGCTCATGGTGACAGAAAAATAATTGAACCGGTCCTGGGCTTCCTCTAGGTCGACTCAGCCTTAGAATCAGTACTTGGTTCAAGATGTAAATATCAGTCCTTCGGTGACAAAGGCGATCAGTTGTGATGTTTACCTCCCATCCCTCTTGTCCCGTGCCAGCCTTCATAGGTGCTCGCTAACAGCACTTGCCACACTGGGTATGAACAGCATACCTTCTGGAGTTAACCATTGCTACGTACAATTTGTCGACTCCAAACCAAGCTGAACTGGAGAGGGAAATGGGATTAATTTGAAATGAGGGGATAACTACTATAAAATCCCTTCTGATGAAGAATTAAAAAAAATAAAAATGTTACCTTTGGCAAAATTCCACAATGAGGGTTCTTTTAATTTTATCCACCTCCTCCTGAAAAGAGAGCAAACCAAGACACGGAGTTTAAAACTGAACGGATACTTCGCTCGCATGTACAGGACAAGTGAAACGCCATTAGCCGATTTGTCAAGTTCATCCTCATTCTACGGGGCCAACAATCACCTCGCTCCACCTGCGGACGATCTTATCGCTCCACCTGAACGGCGAGCATCCGCTACATCTTTGGCTGCCATTCCACTCGCAGGCTCGACCGTCGAGTTCCATCGCTTCTGGCCACGTTCTGATCTCTCCAAGGCCAGCTGCTTTTCCCGAATGTCAATAACTTCTTGAAGTTACTCGTCTAGCCTGGGCCTCGCGCCTCACGCCGAAGCAGCTCATGGCGCTTGTGTCGTTAACGTCTCTCCGAGTGTGCAGCGAACGGGAGGAGGTCGTGCTGCCCGCATGCGCCTGGCAGTCTGCCTGGTGGAGAGATCCTGGCACAAGATATTCCGGACCAGGGCAGCATCAAACGATCCGTGCTGCAAACCTGCATGGAGTACAAGGGCTACGGTGGCTAGGAGATGTTAACTTCCTCGCCCGGTATGAAGGAGGTGGTGGGTTTGATCCCGACCCTGATGCCTGCTGTATATTTGGAGTTTACATGTCTCTCTCCTTCACATGGATTTTCCTCCGGGTCCTCGGTTTTTCCCTCCACATTTAAAATCATTGTGCGTTTAGAGTATTTCGACATGATGAGCCACTTCGTTGAGCTACCATTTGTGGCCAGGTCGCTTCTGAAAAGTAGCTATATAGCTCAGTGGGCCTTACCTGGAAAAAAAAAAGTTTAATTGTTTGTTTATAGGTCACGGGGTTACGCGGTGGGCAACAGAAGGCAGTGCAGGAAGTCCATTGTACTGTACTATGCTGACACATCTGCGCTGCCCATGTTCACTAACCCGCACTGACCAGTGTGGTGAAGTATAGTCAAATATGGCACACTGTTTGCGGAGGGCCTCATCCAGCAGCAGATTACAAAAGGGCTGTGCGCACAGCAGTGTGAGGCTGCTACTGCTGCATAGTAGCGCACTACACTAAACACAATGTGTATTTAGTTTTGTGTGCTGTGTGTTTATTGAGTGTCGTATTTGGAGTGTCTCTGGTGGTGTCGCGTGTGGTGTCTCTGGTGGTGTCGTGTGCTGTGTATTTAGTGTTTCGGATGTGCGTGGTGGGGCCGAGTCAGTGAGTTAGCGTGCGAGTCTGCACCACGTGCGTGGCGAGCGCGGTATATTTGGGGTGTGCGGTGAGTGCAGCGGGGCGAGGTGAGCGAGTGAGCGTGCGAGTCCACACCGCGTGCGTGGCGAGCACTCCATGCGCTCCCTTCCAGCGGAGGAATCCGCGCAGCGCGGCATCGCGTGCCCCTCGTCGCTCCAGCTGCAGCGACACGAACGCCTGCGCCGCGAGCCTGCATCGCGGGGACACCACGAGAGCTCCGTCGGTGCTCACCCTCCGATCACAGCCCTGCTGAGCTAGTGCTCGAAATTCCACATGACTCTGGCGGATGCTAGTCTATCTATAGGATAACCACCATTGACTTCCCCATAGAGCAGTACCTATTTATCGACCCCGGAAGGATGGGCTGAGTCAACCCTCCCAACCTCGATCAAATTGAAAATAATTTCTTTAGAACAGCTTTTTGTGTTTAGTTTGTTGTCTTTTCCCCACAACTCCGATGATCACAGTTGGCTAGGTACGATGCGAAATAAGTTCAACATACATGTGTAGTGACATGGAATGGGTCACTGTGGTGCATAGCGCTGGTTGCTGATACAGAAGAGGATCGGAGGTGTAGTAGCCCTGTCTGCCAGCAGGATGTGATGAGCCAGAGAGAGGGACGTGAGGCAAGGGGGACAGAGGGGGTACGTGTGGTAAAGCCCGGGAACCTTCTTGTGGGTTCCAAAAGGGGGGCATGGCCGAAGGCAGAGCGAGGTCACGCTGGGTGTATAAAGGAAAGACCCTGAGCGAGGGTTCGGGACTGTTGTTTTGAGTGGAACCGTCGTGCTACTGGAGTCCTCGTCACCGTCTTCACGTCGTCGGCGTTGTTGGTCAGGCAGCCTGTTAGCTGTCTTGACCCTCGCATAGTTACCTCTTGTACCGGTGAAGGCTATAATAAATATAGTGCCTCCTACTGTTAGTGTCTCCGAGTGATTCACTACACCTGTATGTACAATCAGGATTTGAACTCGTGACGTTGCGATTGCGAGCCACTCGCTCTTCCATTGGGGCCACCCGGCCAATTCTGTGGGGGATACCGATTGACAGCCGTGGCTCTCAGGCGTGAGACTTAGTGAGGCCTTCCTTGCGTAAATAAGTATAGTAATAATAATGACGATTATGATTAGAATAATAATAAATGACTTGAAAGGTCGATAAAACAATCTCACGCGAACAATTGAAGTGTGCGGTGAGGATAATTGCGCATCGGCTGGTAGATGGTCGAAGGAGCGAGTGGTGAGCCCCAGTGCATCCTCACCATGTGGAGCTCTGGGTGTCTGCAAACGTCACGCTGCAGTAGACACAGCCATCGGGGAAACACAACGTGAAGTGAATTGGCACCCACAGCAATACAAAGACAAAGGTCCCCCGTATAGCCTGTGACATATTTTTGGGGCAAGTGCTGTTAGCAAGCACCTACGAAGGCCTGCACGGCGCATGGGGAGGGGGATGGGTGGCCAGCAACATGCCCGGCCACCTCCGTCTCCCCAGTGGCGATGTTTTACACACCGCACCAGGTACTCATTTGAGGCTGAGTGCACCTAGGGCAGACCTTGAATCAGTACAGATAATCGTCGCTGGTGTTAGTCGTGAGTGGTAATTGAACTTAGGTAGCCGGGTTCGTAGTGCAGTGTGCTAACCTCTGCACTGCCTCTCCCCAAAAATCCGCAGCAATAACAATGCCTGACATTCGCCACCAACTCGGATTAAGTTCGCCATGTCTCTCTCTCTCTCTGACCTATTTACCTCATACATTCCTCGATTCATGAGTTCAACCCCATTGGTCTTTCATCAAAACTTCCCATTAACATCTGCTTAGCGAGAGGCTGTCCCCTCTTGTAGCTAGTGGCCATTGGCCATGATGACCTTATTAATATGCATTAAACATTTAGTTTAAACTCTCCCCTTGTCTTATATCCTTATCGTACCCTTATGTCACTTCTGTACGCAATTCTCTCTCCCCATCAGAGCATCACAAACTCGATGTTCTCTCATTCCTCCCTCACCACCCCCGTACCTTCTCTGTGACCAAGAGACTACACGGATTACCAGAAACATATTACCGCACACATGTAATAATAATCAATTTCCCTTATCAGGTTCCTTTCACAATAAAGTCTCAAGCGCCGTGCGTGAAAATAATAACATAATATGTAAGGGGATAGAAATATGTTTTATGAAGATGTGTCTGTAGTCAGCACTTAAGCAATTTCAAAACTGTCCTAGAAGAGCCACATCTCCAATGGGAGGGAGTCCCACAATTGTGGGGGGTCACCAGCAGGGAGTCCCACACCTGGGGGAAGGGTCACCAGTAGAGAGTCCCACAACCGTGGGGAGGGAGGGGTACCAGAAGGGAGATCCACAATTACCACAGTAAACGCCCAAACACCCCAAGACCCTGACCGAGATCGAGGTGTGCAGGAGAGGGCACCGTGTCCATTCAGAGGGGGGTTACAATTGTCCTGAGCTCGTGACTTGGCGTGAGAGAGTGAGCGAGGGAGATGTGCGGGGGGAGACCTTTTCTTGCCAAGGAACGGGTGCTTGGCGGAGAGACCGGGGGCACCGGCGGGGCCCTCCCACTCGGACTCGGAGCGCCCCGACGCGCTCGGCGTGCCCACGGACGCCGAGCTCAGGCGGCTCGAGCCCTCCGAGTCCTCGGCCGACTGCCAACATGGGCGCAGGCACATACGCGGTGGGCGGGCGCGGTTAGTAATCACTGATTGCAGCCGGCATGGCGCACGACCGCCTAGTTGCCAGGCACGGACCCAGAGGTCCAAAACGTCAAGCCGTCAGCAACAAACAGCACCGCCAATGTTGTTGGGGCGCCGCGGTGGCGAGATGTTAACTTCCTCTCCTGGTATACAGGAGGTCGTGCTTTCGATTCCGACCCTAGACGCCTGCTGTATATTTGGAGTTTGCATGTCCCGTAGTTGCATGGATTTTCTCCAGGTCTTCTGGTTTTTCCTTCCACATTTATAATCATTGTGCATTCAGTGTATTTGGCTGCTGTAAATTTCCACGTGATAAGCCACTTCTTTGAGCGATCATTTGTGGCTAGGTTGCTTCTGAAAGAGAACTACATAGCTGAGTGGGCTTTACCTGGTAAAATAAAATAGTTTAGTTTGTAGTTTATTTAGTAGAAAGAGCTCAAATTCGAAAATGTGCTTACTCTAACCAACGTTGTCATATACCAAGAGTTGACACGTTTATTGAATTATTGCAAGGTTACTATCGTAAGAGATTGAGAAATGAGATGATGATGGGAGGGATTGCTAAGGTGCAGCAGTGCAAGGGAAGAAGCAGAAAGAGAAGTGTTGTGACCGGCAGTGTGGTGAGTGAGTCAGTGAATAAGTGAGTGGGTGAATCAGTGAGTGAATTAGTGGGTAAGTGTGTGAGTGAGCGTGTGGCTGTGTGAGTGAGCGGGTGGGTGAGTGTGTTGTTGTGACCAGCAGTGTGGTGGTTGAACACTGCGTTAATGAGATGAAACAATCAATCTGGTAGACTGGCAAACAGTCAGTCTGGGTGGAGCAATCAATGAGTGAATTTCACAGGAATAGTAACTGACCACCGGTGAGCAAGTGACTGGAGTGTATCCATGAGTGCTGCATCATTAATCAAGTATTGTATTTTGGTACACTGTGGAGCACACAGAATCATAACAGTGCAGTGGTAACAAGGCAGGATGTGCTTGTACAGCCGGACAGAGGTGGCTACGCACGTGGCTGCCTGTAATCCAGCACTGTGGAGGCAGCAGCGAGGGTTGGTGGATCGCACAAATGTTGCGAAACTTCCTTCCCAAGGGTGGGCGTCGAGGAGGAGCCATACCCTGGCTTGCCAGGAGAATGCAGAAAAGCAAAAATGTGGACTCCACCTGTTCCATCTTTATGGGATACAGTGTTTCCACCTCGCACGTGTGGGTTTTCTCTGGGTGCTCCGGTTTCCTCCCACATGGAAACAATAAATAATTGTTATTCTTGGTTCTTTCGGTAAAGTCACGTAGATAGAAAACAAAAAACAAAATTAAAAGCAAAAAACCCACGACGTTTCGATCGCAACACAAGCGGTCTTCTTCAGGTGGAGAGACGAAACGTCGTGGGTTTTTTGCTTTTAATTTAGATTTTTGTTTTCTATCTACGTGACTTTACCGAAATAACCAATATATGAATCCCTGCAGTCACGAAAGTTAAGTCTAAAAATTTAATAATTGGCCAATAACATTGAAATATACAGAGGACAGCAGAGTTTTTGTACTTGGAGCAGGATTAGCGTGTCGTGAATATTTGGCCTCCCCTAGGTTGACTCAGCCTTAAATGAGTACCTGGTGCAGTGTGTAAACATCAGCGCTGGGGAGACAAAGGCAGCCAGGCATTGTGCTGGCCAACCACCACCTCGTGTGCCGTACCAGCCTTCATAGGTGCTCACTAAAAGCACTTGGTCCAGAATTCTGTTAAAAGTTATGCAGGGGATTTCGATTGTCTTTGGGACATGAAACATTCAAGTGTGCTCCATTTTTCACCTTTGACTTGTGAGGCAAGGGTGACAGCTGGCAGAAGCTGGCCTGCTGCAGGGCTGCAACCAGCCCGTTCTTGTGGGTCACCTGGCAAAGCAGTATCAGTTGCAGGCACTCCACTCCTGCTCGGCTCATGAGCTGCAAGACAGGATCATACGAATCTACAATGCAAAAGGTACACGCGTACATCACGAATGACACAGTCCCGGGAACTAGCCAATGGCTAACGACCACCACGTGCCGCATGCCATATAAATCCATTCACCTTACCCACGTCGCCCCCTTTGTCTTCAACACCCAGCACGTAGCTCTCAAGTGTCCGACTCAATTCATGTAAAATTCGGTTTCATGCTTCTGTAGTGACTGACTCAGAGACACTAAGAGTAGGAGGCACTCTGTTTATTAACACGGCTAACAGTTACACTTAGTAACTACGGTTCCCAGTCAGGACAGCTGGTAGACTGCCTGACCAGCGATGACGAGATGGTGAAGACGAAGACGATGGTGAAGACTCCAGCAGCACGACGGGATCCCACTCCAAATGACAGCCACGAGGTTCCCTCCCGGGGCCCCTCTTATACTGTCAGCGTGGCCTGGCTCCGCCCCTGGCCACGCCTCCTTCTAGAACCTACTAGCAAGTTCTCGATGTGCCCCTTCCATAATCTTTCGCCTAGATCCCTCTCTGGTCTATCACGTGGCCTGCTGTCAGTCAGGGCTGCTGTAAGCTGCAGATCCCCTTCCCTGCCAGCAGCCAGCGCTATGCTGTTACGTGACCGATTCCGATTCTATGTCACTACATCACCCCCCCCCCCCCCCTGGGGGCAATGTAACCATGCCTTATTCCCAGGGGTCCATGGGTTTCCGGATTCACGGAATCCTACAAGCTTCTCATTGGCGGCCTGCCATTTGGCCGAATTTCCCCGAGACACCTCCCGTGCTTCCGTCAGCCGCCTGATCGTAAGGTGCATGGGCATGGGCACAGCGACTTGTTTTTTGCCCAGGTCCATGCCTAACTGAGCCTTCATGGGGGGGTCACATTCCCTCCCATACATGATGAAAAAGGGAGAGACCCCTGTTGAGGCGTGAGGGGCCATTCTATGCACTGCGAGAACACCCGGAACGTGCAAATCCCAGTCAGACTGTGTCTCGTTAAACTGTTGGCACAGCATGGACATAAGAGTCCTGTGCAAGCGCTCTACCATCCCATCAGTCTGGGGGTGGTAGGGCAACATCTAGATCTTTTTAGTGCCCAGGGAGTCGCACACCTTCTTTAACATATTTTACGAAAAATTTCGACCCTGGTCTGTAAGGAAGTGTTCCGGGGCCCCTTTGTCCAAAACGTACCCATGTAGGAACGCATCCGTGATGGACGCAGCCGACTGATCCGGCAGAGGCCATGCCACCGGCCTACGGGACAGGTATTCCACCCTGACAAGAAGGAATTTGTTTCCCCTCTGAGTGGCGAGAAACAGGCGAAGGATGTCGAGGGTAATGAGCTCGTTAATATGAGACACCACGATGGATTGCAACAGTGGCCGGGCCTGCCTCGGCGAGTCTTTCGGCGAGCGCACTCAACGCAACATTTGACCATGTGGTACACATCCTCCGACATTCCAGGCCAAAAGAAGTCACGCTTCAAGGTCAACAAAGTTTCCTGCACCCCAAGGTGCATTAACTTTACGTGGACAGCTAGTGTAACTCTACCCCGCAGAGCAGTTGGCACGACGATGCAGTAATGCTGCAATTCCTCATCCCACCTCATCAACAGCACATAACAAAGGGCTATTAGAGACATTCCTGCTGGTACCTTTTAACTACCTCTCGTTCCAACGCTACACTGTAATTTTAACAAGGAGGTATCCGCTACTTGGAGGCGGCACCATTCGGCATGCGTGAGACCAATCATGTTGTCACAGGGAGCGGTTGTCGTGGGTGGTGGAACATCAACCAATGCTACAACAGTGCACGGAAATCCTGCAGCCGCAGGTTTACATCGGCCGGCACCCTTCAAACACGCACAGCGGTCCCTCGGCAGGAACCGCGATAATGTGTCCGCGTTGCAGTGGCGTGCACCCTTCCTGTAGGTGACCGTGAGGGAGTAGTCCTGAAAAAATTCTAACCAGCGGGAAAGTTGGACGGACGGCTGGTCAACCCGCAAAGCATATTGAAGGGCCGCGTGGTCTGTGCACACGACAAATTTGCCTTCCATAAAGATATGGCCTGTACTGCTGTACAAAATGCACAATGGCCAACAATTCATGGTGCATCACACAATAACGCTGCTCTGTGGGGGACAGCACATGGCTCCTGTAAGCCATAACCCTCTCCACACCGTTCACTACCTGGGACAGTACAGCGCCGATTCCAGTGTCGCTGGTGTCTGTATCCAACACAAAAAGCAGAGAGAAATCGGGGTACCCAAGGGGAGGCACGTTGGCGAGGCCGTTGCTCAGCACAACAAACGCGGCCTCCTCCTCGTACCCCCATTGAAATCTCTGACCCTTTCCGGTGAGAGCTTAGAACGGTTTAGCGATCGTCGCAAACTTGGGTACGAACTGGCGGTAGTATGACGCGAACCCGACAAAACTCAAGACCTCACCCACCGATGTAGGGGTCGGCTATGTGCGCACGCACGCAGTTTTGTCGGGATCCGTAGCTATCCCGGATTCGCTGACAATGTGGCCCAAATATCGAAACGGTGCCTGCAAAAGATGACACTTTTGTGGTTTGAATTTAAGATTGACCGCCCACACCCTGACAAACACCGACCGCAACCGCTGCAGGTGCTCCTGCAATGTGCATCCGAATACAATTACGTCATCCAAATAAATGAGGCACGAGTCCCACTGAAGACCTGCTAAGACCAGCTCCATAAGTCGCTGAAATGTGGCCGGAAAGGTGTGAAGACCCATCAAAAGACAGTTAAATTGAACAACCCCTGGGGTGTTCGGAACGTGGTTTTAGGTTTGGAACCTTCATCCAAAGGCAACTGCCAAAACCCTGACAGAAAGTCAAGGGTGGAGAAAAACCACACATCCGACAGGGCGTCCAAGGAGTCGTCCATCCGTGGGAGCGGATATGCCTCCGCCACGGGGACTTTATTTAATTTACAAAAATCCGCAAAAACGCAAACTCCCATCCCGCTTTTTAACAAGGACAATAGGAGCTCGCCACGGACTGGTGGAAGGGGAGATAATATCGGCAGCCAACATTTCGTCGACCGCCTGCCAAACATGGTCCTTTTCCTTGGGAATGAGCCTATACGAATTTGCCATATAGGAGCGGCATTACCTGTATCGTGATAGGTTTTTACCCTTTCAACTGGTACAAAAACTGACACCTTTATACAAGGCATCATGTTTTCAATACCCACAACACAAGCAGTCAAAATGCAAACAAAAAGAAACAACTCTGATAATGATATGCACTGTCCTTGAAGTTGATTGGTTCACACCCGAGACAGATTTTCTTAGAGCCTAGTCTCCATTGGTGTTGGACCAGATGATGCCATTGCAAACATGATGCCTTGTATAAAGGTGTCAGTTTTTGTACCAGTTGAAAGGGTAAAAACCTATCACTATATTTTGCCACTGGTAAAAGAGGTCTCATAGTCTATGGGGACCTCATTTGTCAGTAAAAATATGATAATTGGTTCTTTACCCTTCCATCTGGCAACAAAACTGACACCTTTTTGCAAGGAGTCATGTTTGCATAGACCGCAATACCTGCAGTCATAATACAAACAAAAGAACATAACTCTGATAATGTGCACTATCCATGAAGTTGATTGGTCCACACCCGAGACAGCTTTCCTTCGAGCCTAGTCTCATATGGGTTGGCGTCATCTGGTCCAACCCATATGAGACTAGGCTCGAAGGAAAGCTGTCTCGGGTGTGGACCAATCAACTTCATGGATAGTGCACATTATCAGAGTTATGTTCTTTTGTTTGTATTATGACTGCAGGTATTGCGGTCTATGCAAACATGACTCCTTGCAAAAAGGTGTCAGTTTTGTTGCCAGATGGAAGGGTAAAGAACCAATTATCAGGTCTCATAGTGTTACCCGTATCGTTTCAGTGCTGCAATAGTGACGTGCGGCCAATATCATATTTCCCACGACTAAAAATATCAGCAAATTCCCGGAGCAATGCACACAAGTCGCCCCCCTGCTCACTGATAACTTAGAATTTTCTTTACACAGCACATCCATACAAGTCTCATCTGACTTGCCGCCCTGCTCCACCGCAGCAACGCCTCTGTGGCCATATCGCTGGCCTCCTCAAAACACGTGGCCGTCGCGTGGGCCAACACCGTACCCGCCTGGACCACCACGGCGCCCAGCCCGACGTTCAACACTTGCAGAAAGGGATCCTCGTCCCCCCTTACTATCGTTGGGGCCCCCACCAATACGAGAACCCGAATCGCTCTGTTCGAATTGGTTAAAAGGACCCCTCCAACGGTGTCTGCGTGATCAAGCTGCTTCCGCAACCGTAAGGGCACCAACATCTGAGCACCTGGAGGAACTGTGACGGTCTCCTTCACTAGGGCCTGAACCGTGGCCAACCCCCGCCCCAACGGCAGTTCAATACACCCTTGATCCATGAGGATCTTAAGGGGCATCCTTCTGAGGAAATCGGTGCCCAACAGACAGGATACAGCCAATGTCTTAGAAACTAACACTGGCCATGCCAATTAATTGTCTCCAATGCGTACTTAGGCCGATATCTGGCCTATAATATCCAAACTCCCGCCATTAGCAGCAACACACGCACTATTCACTAGATTAATACAACATGATCGAGTAATAAATAAGTTCTGAAATTATACTAGCCGACACTCCACACCCTACATGAACCTGACAACCGCGGATAATTCCGCCGCCGCCAAGACACATTGCGCTAACGTGGTGCATTGTCCCGCGCCCCACGGCCACCCATTATATGCCGAAGTCCGGCGTTTGGACGCCGTGACATGATGAGGGATGGCGGTGTGCGAACTTGATGCGCTCGAAGAGGGAGATGCCTGACATGACTGTGGTGGCCAGGTGTCTGATACATCGCGACTTGGCTGTGGGCCCCGGGAAGCGGAGGTCATCAGGGCAGAGGAAGACGAAGGCGAGGAGAACGATCCAGGGCTGG